GATGATTTTATCTAATTATCTTTAACTTGTGTGACTCTAGTAATTTTACTCTAAATATGTCAAAATAAATTAAAAAGTGTTATTTCTCAATTAGTTTTTCTGTTTTCAGAGACTAAAAAATATAAGAATTTTTTTTTTTTTTTTTTTTGGTACCAGGGATTGAACTCGGGTCCTTGCGTTTACAAGGCAGGCCACCAAACCGCTGAGCTAAATCCCCGGCCCAATTATAGATTAATTAATAGAACTTTTTCAAATGAGAAAGGGATTAAGAGTAGGAGGGAGCAGGGAGGGGTGGGAGAGGAAGGAGACCAAAAAGGAATTTAGATGTGCTAAGTACATGTACAAACTCCCCATGATGAGTATAATATCATATATTGCAAACAGGCACTAGCAAAAATACTTTAATAGAACATAAAATAAAGTTTAAAAAAATTAACAATCGCAGAGTGTAGTTGAGCTCCTTTAGTGCATATACACATTTTTTTAAAACATTTCTTGCTAAAGCTACTGTTTTTCCATTTTAAAAACGCTTGTAGAAGGGCCAGGATTTAGCTCGGTAGCACCACACCTGCTTTACAAATGCAAGGTCATGAGTTCAATACCCAGTACTGAAAAAGCAGACAAATGAACAAACACTTGTAGAAATGTATTTTCTTAGATTACATAACAACCAAAGAGGAAACGTGAGAGAAGAAAAGGGGGACAGTAATCAATTTAGGATACTCCATAAGAAATAGTTTGGATGATAGTCCCAGAAAGAATATTCTATCTTAGTTTCTGGTTCTCCCTTAATTTGACTCCTTTGACTTTTAGATTGAATTTCCCTAATTGCTGAACTAAAAGCATCTTTGTGTTTTTGCAGTGTTGGGATGTACAGAATTTATGCTGAGTCTATGGAACTATAACCTAGAGAATCATTCAGCAACTGTTCTACAAAGAGGGCACATCTAATTTAGGTTGTTTGGCCAAATAACGTTTTTGATACATAGCTGCTTTTCTTTACAGCTTTTAAAAATGCAACAAAAAAATTTAATTTAGAGGACATAGAAGGGTGTGAATAGGATTGCACCTTCTGGCTCTCTTTGCCAATTCCTGCTAGAAGCTGAGCCATGAATACACTTGTTCTGTTGATGCTTAACCTGCTGCTGCCAAATGATTCAACTTCAAGCCCTGTTACTTTGCTAGTGTTCATCGCCTGCCATCTCTTAATTTGTTAAATGACAAAGTCGGACCGACTCAGTTTACTTTGCACACCAGAGCTGCTGTGTGCATATATCGAGATGGTGAAGACAGCGTGCACTGCGGATCTGAGAGCATTACAGAGGTCCAGAGCCCAGAGTGACGGATTTCTTTTCTTTTCCCAGATGGCTCTTGTTGTCACCAGCATGGTGGCTGTGATCGTGTACCGCCTTTCCGTTTTTGCTGCGTTTGCGAGCTTCATGGAAAGTGAAGCATCGTTACAGGAAGTCAAAAGATTCTTCACTCCCCAGTTAGCCACGTCTCTCACCGGCTCCTGCTTGAACTTCATTGTCATCTTGATCTTGAATTTCTTTTATGAAAAAATATCTGCATGGATTACAAAAATGGGTGAGCAGCCAAATTTTGTGATCGGAAAGTAGGTTCCTACTGATGCTGTACACTCACTGGGATCCTTTTCCAGAGAGCTCATTTCTTTTTTTTTTTTTTTAACTTTATGGAGTTTATTGGTACATTTTAGGGATACAGTACAGTTACATTCATTGTTGGGATCATGTACCTTTACATGGCAAGTCTTGATTCTCATTTTTCCCCTTACCTCTGCCCTCCCTTCACCCCCTCCTCCCCTCCCCATCTACAAACACTTTATTTTCATCTTTTCATTCTCTCACATTTTTTTCTTTTCCTTTTTTGTTCTTCCCCTACGCATCACACCTTCCCTACACCTTTAGCTCCTTTCTTCAAATTTCTAAATGTCAGTAATCTTATTAGAATCTTATGCATTTTTGCAGAATATTCACACCAGGGAAACTATTTGGTATTTACACATGTGTGACTTATTTATTTCACTTAGGAGTATATCTTCAATATGTATCCATTTTCCTATGAATGAATCTACTCTCTCGCTCTTTATGGCTGAGTAATATTCCATTTTATAGAAAAACCACAACTTCTTTATCCAGTTTCCAACAGAGAGCTCATTTCTTAAGTGTGGGTTTTAGACAGTTTTGCTTGCCAGGTAGAATCACACCTGGTATCTCAGAATCCCCTAAGAGCCCTACTTAGGTCTACCCTGAAGGAAGTAGGAAGAAGAAGAAACAAAGAAAGCATTAGGACCCCTGAACGTCATTTGGAATATTCCTGTCTTAGTCTTCCTGCAGTGGATCTAGCTGTGTCCTCCTTAAGACAGTGAATGTGATCAAGAGGCAAGAGTTTGATTTCACATCAATGACTCTGAGAAGAAATTTGGCTTTGGAAATAATCATGAGAAAAACTGAATATCAAATCCTGCTAAATAAATCTCTCCCAGTGCTTTGTTGTTCAGCTGCCATATCTTAGATCAGGAATGATTGCCTTTTGAAAGTATTACCATTTCCCTTGAAGCCATAAGGGAAGGTGAAGTGAGTGACAAGCTAGGAAGGGATTCGCTTCTGTTCTTGTCATGGGTGAGGTCGGGATGAGATCAGAGGCTCAAGTCAAGGTGTCCCCTCTTCTTTGAATGCAGGAGGGCAGGCTCTCCCCCAAATCTGAGCACTGAGGCCAGGTCCCTTATAGGAGCAAGAGTACTGTCTCCCTCAGCACCAAGTGAAACCTATGAACCTTCCTTACCAACCATCTTCAAAGTGGGAGTTTACTTTCAATTTTTTTTTCTGCTAGCAATAGCAAGAAGATTATAAGACATAATTTTTTAGACCACTTTAAAAACTCAGAGCTTCTTCAACATGAAAAAATCACTTGATTTCCTATTAGAGAAATTTAGGGATGCAACAAGACTTCACTAAAACAGCCATCCTCTGTATCTTTAGAATAAATATGTTGCTATTTCAGTATTTTTGAAAGCATCAAGGATTTGGCTGAATCAGCTATGCTCTTGAGAAATTGTCCACTCAGGAAAATACATTCCCTTCCTCCTTTGTGCTTCATGTTGCTGTAGTGTGGCGTGAAGATAATTTAATATTTCCTTAGTTTAGAATTTTTTAAATCACAAATCATGATCATGCATTTTAATAAACAAGGAAAATGTGTACTCTTTTGCCACCATTTGCTGTCATATAAAAATTTAATTTATAATAGGAAAGCCCAATTCAGTTGGAAATCATCTCTACCTGTGATGTAATTATACATTGTTTAAATTAGGTTGATAACAAAGGGTAAAAATTTGAAATATTTACATGATCTTATTTAGTTGCAGTGAATAATCTTGAGAATTTTTAAGGGATTTCAGTACCAAAATCTGACTGTGACCCCAAGAAAAGTATTCCATTATATAAAGGTGTCTATCCTGCTTTCTAGGCTTTACGCATAGTAGCTAGATTTACACATAGGATCAGCAGAAAGCCCAGAAATCGTAGTTATTCCACATTGCTTTTCTGATTAGAGTGGGGAGATTTCCATAGACCTTCTGAATAGGAGTCCTAGATGTCCCTTGTCCTAGTGAAAACAACATTCAAGAAAAATTGGAAAGTGCACTAAACCTTTGTGTTTTTACTTAACAGAACTCCCTCGAACTTACCAGGAATATGAGAGCAGTCTTACCTTGAAAATGTTCCTGTTTCAGTTTGTGAATTTTTACTCATCCTGCTTCTACGTAGCTTTCTTTAAAGGGAAATTTGTAGGTTACCCTGGAAAATACACATATCTGTTTAATGTGTGGAGAAGCGAAGAGGTAAGAATTCTTTTGAGAGCTGAGCTATGTGACTTCAATAACTCATTATTAACTAAGAACTTTCTTTGTGTCCAGCACTAACTCAGATGTTACCAAGTTGCAGGAGACGCCTAGACAGCCAGTGTACACGGATGAGTCTTTTCATCTGTTAGGATTTTGAGTTTCTTGTACAAGGGTTTATTTGTACAAGGGTGCCCGTGGTTCAGTAGTGAAACATCAAGTGTTAAATCAGTTAATATCTTCATTCCCAATGGCTTCCTGCGAAGGATTCTTGATCACTTTCTGGAGAAAAGCTTTCACTCTAGACTACAGAGTTAGAAAAGTCAGTGGTATCCAATCCCGTTAATACATCCGGGTTACACGGAAAATGTCCTGACCTTTGACCTCCGGCACAAGTAGTGTCAGAACTGTGTGGGAAGCAGACCCCTTACAGAAGTCTGCAGGTGAATCTAGTGCGATTAGCCTGCTTCCTGGTCTATGATCATGCTTGGGACTATTGGGCCAAATATCTCCTTAATCCCTTTACTATATTCCCCCCAACCAAAATCGTGAATATTAAAGTAATGCTGTAGAGTTTCTTTTAGTTGCAAAATTCTGTCTTCCGTCATTTACTTTTCTCCCCTCTTTGCTTCCAACTAGTGTGACCCTGGTGGTTGTTTAGTGGAACTGACCACACAGCTGACCATCATAATGATTGGGAAACAGATTTTCACAAACATTAAGGAAGCAATTTACCCGTATGTATGGCTTACAAGTGTTTTTGCTTTATTTGATTTAAGTAACCATAAAGCATTTCCTTAGAAGAGGCTAAAATTTGTTTGATTTTTGTGCCTTTGTTACAAAATTTTAAGGCAAAGAAAATAGATTTAATCAACAATAAAAGATTCACTAAGATCACATAGGCTTTTAATTAAGTGATTAACTATTATTCAAGTCCATGGTTGACAAAGTCTTAAATTGTATCTTATTTTTAATTGAATGTAATTGTGGAGTGCAATGTGATATATTGTATGTGGGGTCTATTTCTTCTTTGAAATTGAGAAAAAGTAATTATCCTTATCTTTTACAAGCATTTGACACGAAAATCTAAATGTAATACACTGTGTAGATTATTCTACATGCTGCGCTGTATGTCACAATGTTACTAAAAGCTGAACTTTTAAAAATATTGTATCATGTCATCTAGAAATACAGATTGGCTATTAAAAAAGAACTAGTGGATTTGAAAATGTTACAAAGTTATCCCTGTGTTGCACAGTACAAGATGAGGTTTTTAAAAAATTAAAGTTCAGAGGTTGCAGCTCAATAGTAGAGCATGGGCTTAATATGCGAAATTCCCTAGGCTTAATCACAAGCACTGAAAAATAATCAATAATAATAAATTTAAGAATGAGATCCACAGTAGGATAGAGCACAGCTTTCTACTTTTAAGTACTGCTAAGCTTCAGAAAAAGATAATTGAGTATATCCTGAAGGGAAAAGAGTCTTTGAATAGGTAGTTGCTGAATGTGTTACAAAAGTGGAGTTTTAGAAAGAGAAAGAAATTCTGAGACTGATGTAAGATAAACAGAATTTGTTCCCATATTCCTATGGTGAAACTACCGGACATTCAAGAAAAACAGAATCTTAGAGCCTATCAGAAGATGCACTGCCTACAAAAGTATGTTATTTTAGTATCAACAGGTTTCTCACCAGTAGCATTAGATGTTAGAAGACAGTATTTTCATTCATTGACCATCACGGAACGATCTATTGGCAGTTGTACTTGTGTAAAAAGAGATGACAGTGAACTTTAATATTGGTCAACACAGAACTCGTTAGCTCTAAGAAGTTGTAATACTTGATGGGAATCTAAAAGTCATACGGAATAATATGCTGAAAACTACAAAATGCGAAAGAAAGAAAGAAAGAAAGAAAGAAAGAAAGAAAGAAAGAAAGAAAGAAAGAAAGAAAGAAAGAAAGAAAAAGAAAGAAAGAAAGAAAAACTGTACAAAGAGCAATCTATGATCATGGATTAGAAGACACAATACAGCAAACATGTCTGTTATCTTTAAATTGATTTCCAGATTTACTATTATTTTATCAAAGTAGCAACAGGGTTTTTGTAGACATATACAAATGGATTCTATCACTTCTGGGCGAGGCCAGAGATCTGAATTAGCCAAAGTACTGCTCCAGAAGAATAAAACTGGAAGGACTTCTGGATAAGATGATAGTGACAAGTATCTTTTCCTTAACTCCATATTAGAAGAATTAAAAGTGAGAAAAAAAAAATCACATTCCAAGGGGAGAGAAAGTGTTCTGCAAATAAAGAAAGATGTGACGGGAAAGCTAAAAACACGTGCCAAGAGAAAGGCAAGGCAGAGAGCAGTGTGAAGCTGTCCACGAGGCCACCTGAGGCTCCCGAGGTGGACGGGCTCCAGGGTAACTCAAAGAGGGCAGCAGCCCCAGCTGCAGTAGAAACCCATGGTCACCACTGAGTCTACTGCGGGAACTCGGCCCAAGAGTGACTCCTCCGTGGCATCCGCCTTCAGTGAGGAAATCAGCGATAAGTGATCCAGGGGTACATCTCAAAGCATTAGAGAAACAGCAGTGAGTCAGGCCATACCCTGTAGCAGGGAATACATAATAAATATCTAAGCTGAAAATAATGAAATGGAGACTATCAATACAAAGGGTCAATGGAACAGCAAATTGATCTTTTGGAAAGATCAACAAGTTTGATTAGCCGATAGCCAAACTGGACAAAGAAAGACCCAAATCAATGCAAATACAGATGTGACGATGGACATTACAGCATCACACACCATGACCAAGTTTATTTGATTCAAGACTACAAGGATGTCTCTACATAAACATAATATACCAATATAAATAGTTTCGATGGTAAAAAAGCACACATGATCTTATGAATTCATACACTAAAAGCCTTTGACAAAATTCAATATATTTTCATAAGAAAAACCCAGAAGAAAGTGGGTTAGAAGGGTCATCCCTCAACATAAGAGTGGCTATTTATTAAAATCACAGTTAATATCGTATTGAATGGAAAAAAACTAAGCACTTTTCCCCTCAATTCAGAAACAAAGATGTCTACTTTTATTACTGTTATTCAGTATAGTACTTCAGTTTTAACTAGAACAATTATTCAAAACAAAGCTAAAAGAGATACAAGTAGGAAAGAAGTTGTATAGTGTTTAATTTTAAGTGATATCATCTTATACTTAGAAGATTCTGAAGAAGCTACCAAAAGACATTTATATCTGATAAACATATCAGAGTATCTGCTGATTGCAGAATCAGCCTTAAAAAAATCAACAGATTTTGTATGCACCAATAGTTAATTAGCTGAGAAAGAAGTCAGGAAAACAATTGCATTCCCAATAGGTTAAAAAATTTCATTAGGAAACAATTTAACCAAGGAGCTTAAAAGCCTCTACAATGAAACTTATAGGACACTGAATGAAAAAGTTAAAAAAAGTATTAGAAGAAGAGCTCCATGTTTACTAATATTGCTCAAAGATCATGTCACCAAACGTGCTACCCAGAGTATATGAAGTCCCCAGCAAAATATTAATGACATTTTTCGAAGATCTAGGGAAAAGAATCCTCAGATTCATACGAAATCACAAAAGACAGAATGGTCAGAATAATCCAGACACCCCCTAAAATTCTCATGGAATCACAGCACCTGATAGCAAAATATACTACTGCTGCTATCGTAACAGAAGCAGATGGAACGGGCATGGAACAGATATGTAGAACAGTCTCTGAGTAAGTATTTACAGTCAAGATTGTCTTGTTTTATTCCTTACACCAATAAGGAAGATGTGTGATGAAAACAGCCTAGATTTTGAGTTGGACTTTAGTTCAAATCACACATGCCCTTGTTGTTTGATCATAATTATTTATCTTTCCGTGGTGTCATTTCAGAGTTAGCATGCTAATTTCCTGACTTCTTTCTGTTTAGCTCTCCTTCATATCTTTATTTTTATTCCTTCCAACAGCTTCGTTTTAAATTGGTGGAGACGTAGAAAAGCGCGGACCAACTCTGAGAAACTGTATAGTCGTTGGGAGCAGGATCATGACCTTCAGTCCTTTGGACAGCTTGGGTTATTCTACGAATACTTAGAAACAGGTAAAGTTCAACAGTGTTATGAGGCACAGAGCCAACCTGAATAAAAGAAGTGTACTTTTCATCTTAGTATTTCTTTCTGCCATGCACATAGTAGATGCCTGTCGTTGGATGGTGGGTTAAAGGATGAATGAACGGAGATCAAGAGAATGATTCATAATTTCCCTGTCCCACTAAATAGAATGTAGAATAGTTTACTTTCAAAACATCAACCTTAAGGGCTGGGAATTTTGCTCAGTGGTTCCGCCGTCTGCCTCAAAACATCAACCTTAGAGAGACTTTTTTTTTCTTATTGATTGAATATAAACATTGTTGAACCAAATCAAGAAAGAAAAATATTTTAACTTCGTTCTCTAAGATGTTTTAATGATCCTTTTTTTTTTCTTTTCTCTGCTTCGGTGACTATTTGGAAAGAAAATGAATTATAAAACATTTCCAAAGCCTGAAATCATTTAGTGTATACTCTTTAGGTTGGGCTGAAAAAAATGGAGCTAACAGTTATGTAAGGTAGGCCCAGGGTAGCTATAAGAAATGCATAAAGTATTCCCATGATTGAACAGAGAAAACATATTAAGGGAAATTTTAGGAGAGATCGCTCTGAGGACTGCTCTTATACTCAGAGAATTCCCGCTCAAGTCACTTTACTTCGTTCGTGGAAATACAGACAACAGATTTTTCTCCACAGGTTCTCAAATCACATAATATCATGGTGAAACAAAGGCAATGATCCAAAAAAAGATTCTTCAGAATAGTACAGGAATTATGCCATAGTTCAAAATGAAACTAGTAAATTTAGTAAGTCTATTTTATACAGATGCATAAAGCATCTACTTTATTTGGCAGTAAGCTTATCGTTTTTTATTAATTGTATAACTTTTAAATAAGTCAGTGCATACATGTATCTGATATTAGTACCAAATTTATAAGAGGACATGAAGGTTTTCATAACAAGATTAACTACCATTTTCTAAGACTCATCCAAGAGTTAATCTATCCTGGAAGCTTTCCTACATTATCTCTAGTCTTGAAATGATTGTTTAGCGTAGTCATTACTTGGCATATTTTATTTTTGAGGATACTGAAAGTTGAATGGTCCAATTAATTTTCTATGAGCCACAAAGATTCTAGCTAGAAATATGAGATTTGAACCCTTAATTTTATGCTGCCTCTACCTGATTTCTCCTCTTTGCTTTATATTTGTTCAGTCAAGAAAGTCAGAGAGAAAAGAGTCAGTATTTGTTTCTGGACTTAATAACAAGACTATGCAATCTTGCTATAAAGCTGAAGCCCAAAAGTAATGAAGATCCATTTAAAAATAGAAGAGCAATGGAAACAATTTGCCTTCCTTACTGGAAAGCCATTTCCGTGTCTTGTTTTTCCTTCCCTCGTGTGGACAGTCCAGTCCTTCAGTTGCACGGGTTCCCTTCGTCCTAGCATGGTTAGAAACCAAAAAGAACAAAGAGGAGAAGTCAGCTCACAACCCTCAGCCAAATCTTGAGGTGAAAGGGAAAAACTGACGTAGAAAGATGTCAAAATCGTGTAAAATATTAGGGCCTTAATAAATACCTTATTCCATAAAATTTCCATTTTCTTTCTCAACATGTATTCTTAGTGAATGCATTCACCGAGAGGTGCTGTGACTTAGGCCTGTCACATTCTGGACCTGTTCACATCCCCTTCCGTGCTCTTTCTTGTCTTCCCCATCCTCGTGTCTCCTTCCCATCTCCATAAAGTCTACATCTCTCTTTCCTACCATCTTCCTTATATTTCACTGTATCAATTATTTATACTTTGGATTTTTTACATAAGATATATATATATATTTACACACACACCAGATATTGAATCGTCATCACCTTTCATCTGAAAAAGTATAGAGATTTTCAAGATGAGATCTATAGTTATGCACCACAAATATAATCGCCATTAAAAACATAACAACTAGCCCAGCGTGAACCTAAACAGAGCACATAATGAAAGGCAAAGCAGAACAGATTCTTCAGACAAGGCTGAAAGCAGAACAAGGACAGAACTGAGTTCTGCATCTTAGTTCCTCCATCCAGGCCTAGAAAGGAAATCAATCACTGCCTCCTTTGTTGGGAGGCAGAGAGCAAGAGATCTGAAGTGTGTGACTGTGTCGATCCCTTCCAGGTGAAGTAGCAGGAGCCACCCCAACGTCCCCACATCCTCCACGATTTCCAGTCTGTGTCTTTCTTGCTCTTCTCCTGCAGTGATCCAGTTTGGCTTCGTCACACTCTTTGTGGCCTCGTTCCCGCTGGCCCCTCTCTTTGCCCTCATGAACAACATTGTGGAGATCCGCGTGGACGCCTGGAAACTCACCACTCAGTACCGCAGACCTGTGGCCGCCAAAGCACACAGCATCGGGGTCTGGCAGGACATCCTTGCTGGCATGGCGGTGCTTTCTGTCGCGACTAATGTGAGTGAACCTGTCCAGCTGGGGTGACTTTGCACTTCATTCATTTCCTTGAGAATAGAGACATGGGAATGATGCTTAGCTCATTCTTTAATATATTTCCTCATGGGGATAGTCCACAAATATAAAACATCCCAAACCCTTTTTTTTTATTGCGTTTATTGGTACATTTTACGTATACAGTACAGTTACATTCATTGTTGGGATCCTGTACCTCTACATGACAGGTCTTGGTTCTCATTTTTTCCCCTTGTCCCTGCCTTCCCTTCACCCCCTCCTCCCCTCCCCATTTACAAACACTTTATTTCCATCTTTTCATTTTGTAAAGCTTTTTATGGCTTTTTTGGGGGGGTACCAGGGATTGAACCCAGGTCCCTGTGTTTTCTAGGAAGGCACTGGAACCACTGAGCTAGATCCCCAGCCCTACATCCCAAACATTTATGCACTGAGAAATGAGAAATCTGTGACAGGCAGACTCTTAAAAATACAAGAAAAATTGTAAAAGCATTTATTAAAATTTCCCAGTAGTTTCTTAGTATATGACCAATTAGATAAACATAAGTAACGATTTAAAATATTTGAATAATGCAGTTGAAGACCGATGACACCTGCATTTGTAGACCACAATCAGAGAATGAACAATTACTTATGTCTATAGTGCATTTACATAAAAAGTAGCAGGAATCCCAAATTCCCCAAACCACAAATCTTATAATGCATACTCATCTGCAATTGTGCTTTCAATATTAAATTTAATGAAGCAGTCGAAGGAGAATATGTAACATCCATACTACTTTATCAAGAAGAAGAAATAGAATTGAGATCAGAGGCAGAGCTTATATTGAGAACCTATGTGAATGAACAAAACTGTAATTACAGAAGAGTCTACAGGAGAAATGCTTGTATTTAAGAAGAAAATGGAGAGTGGGTAGGATGCTTGAAGTCATGAAATGAGCAGTGATTTGTTTTTTAATTTTAAATTTTTTTCCTCATTGAGTTTATTGGTGTATTTTAGGTATGCAGTGCAGTTACATTCATCATTGGGATCTTGTACCTTTACATGACAGGTCTTGGTTCTCATTTTTTCCCCTTGTCCCTGCTCTCCCTTCACCCAAGCAGTGATTTAAACACATACACACACACACACACACACACACACACACACACACACACACACATAAAACAAATTGGAAGAAGTAGTGAAAAGAATAAAAATCACAAGTCAAATTCAAAAGCAAAAATCATTCAACTACAAAGTAAGTCAGAGTTGTTTTGTTGAAAAGACATAAAACAAGCAAAACTGAAAAACTATGAAAGGCTGCTGTGTACCTCTTTGTTTTAAAAATTAATCTATTTGAAATTTGCATTTTTATAGAAAATAAAAAAATGTCACATTTATTCAGCAAGGAATAGATCACTTGTATGGATACCAAGCAGCCGTAGAAGTAATAATAAATTTACAGATTTTACCACTAGAAATATAAATAGCTGAACCAAGAGATCTACAGTTTACTCCTCTATTCTGAAGGAAATGTGCTATGTATTCAGTTTCAGAGCTCAAGAAAGCACTGGAAAATAACATCCCCCTGGAGTGAGACTGTAGTGGACTATGGAGAGTTTCCAGTACGCAGATTTTATCTTTCCCCTCTCTTCCCCTCATCCATAACTTACGAAGTTATGCAGCGAAGGGAACTCTGTTAGGAATAATAGAACTGTAAAATGAATGACACAAACAGAAAAGTAAGAACTAGTGATGAAAATCCAAGTTTTGTTTTTTTTGGGGGAGACAGATATATTTAGTTGTAATTCTCAACTTGGTCACCCAAGTTATAAAATCTCGGAATATTTTTTCAGTGACATAAATGAGCTGTTTTGGGTTGTAGACCAAATGGTATTTTATTACTATAATTAAGAAGAGTGTTTTAGTCATTTTGTATCCATAAGACTTAAGAGACTGAAGGCCACACAGATCCCCCTTCTTACAGCTCTCTCTCTCTCTCTCTCTCTCTCTCTCTCTCTCGCTCTCTCTGCTTCTTGCTGTCATCCAGGCTTTTATTGTTGCATTTACCTCAGACATCATCCCCCGATTAGTTTACTACTATGCCTACTCTACGGATAGCTCGCAGCCTATGAGTGGTTATGTCAATAACAGCCTGTCAGTATTCCTGACAGCCGACTTCCCAAACCACACTGTACCACTGGATAAACGAGACTTCACCACATGCAGGTATGTTTTTTGTCTAGAAGTTAACTTTGCCATTCAATTATATTTGTTAAGTTATTTGATTCTTTCATGTCTTATAATGTCAGGGATTTGCTTAAGGCAACAAAAATCCTGAATAAATAGTGTGGTTCAACTCCAGAATGCACACATTGCATGATTGTGATTTTGAAAGGAGTGATGTACAACAGAAGAGAATATTATAGGTATTTATCATGTTGATTTTGCAGTATCTTATTTGTTATGTTTTCCAAAAAGTTCCCTTACCAAAAAATGCTTCCTGGTGTCAAGTTGTAATATCTATGCATCATACATCATGATCATGTTATGTGTGTGTGACTTGAATTTAAATATGCATCCTTAGAAAAGAATGAGGGAAAAAAACACCCAGTAACATAATAATATGATCAGTCACCAGGCATCCCATTTAAAGGTGGATTTTTTTTCCTGTATAGGGAATGTGAAATGGGACTTTTATGAATGCCATTTCAGTACTCTGTGGCTCACAAGGCTCTTTACAGTATAGAATTTTAAAATGAAATGTAGACAGATAGACCCCAGGGTCACTTAAATCTTAAACCAAATGCTTTCTTCCTTTAGGATTCCAACAAAGAATGATAAAAAAGCTGTAAGACAAGCAGAGAAAAATATTGTTATATTCTACATTTGAATCTACAAAGAATCATAGCATAAAGATTGAGCAAGGGCATTAGTGTCAGATTTTTTGATTTCATCATTTTCCAGCGAGACTAAGTCTTTGAAGAGCCTCAGTATCTAGGGACTTTATAGAAAAGAATGAAAAGTTGAATACGAGAGAAGTCTAGAAAAATAGAGTAATGCAGCATCAACCCTTCCAAGAGAAAATAGAGGTAAAGAAACTAAAAATGATAAACAATGCCAGTTCTGTTCTGGAAATGTCAAATAGGATAAGGATTAAAATGTCCCTTCCCTTTAAAGATGGATGATAGTCATTTTGGGCAGAGAGATGAGTAGAACTAAGTATCTTGAAGATTAGAAAGAAAGAAAATGGAGGACTGCAAAGTTTTATAACTCATATGAGAAGTTTCTCTTTGAAAGACAAGAGAGAAGTTTGCTTGTAGTTTCCTGCTAGAGATATACTGCATCCATGTGCTGTGATTTACATGAAGAAGAAAATGTTCCAGATTGCCCATTGTCTTCCTATGACCTGACTTCTGGGGTCAATGAATAATGAGAGTTCAGTCTCTCTAGTTGAAGCTTTTGCTAAGTTTTTATATTTATTTCCATTGTTTTACAGGTACAGAGATTACAGAAATCCTCCTGCAGATGAGAATAAGTACCTTCATAATATGCAGTTCTGGCACGTCCTTGCTGCCAAGATGACATTTATCATAATTATGGAAGTAAGTGTTCGTAACTTTTATTCCAGTTACTCTCTCCTCTCCCTTTAGATATCTTTTGTAAAGGTGCCTGTTAATCAGGAAGTTAGCATTATCTCAATAAGTTGCTTTGGTGGAATTATTTGCTGTGATGAACAGTGATTTAGGGACTTTTTTCATGCATTGGGGCTGCCTATTATTTATTTACTGTTGTTAAAGATAGCATGGTGACAGAAAAGGAAAAGAAAAATATTGCCTTTTAGCACAAGGTCAGGAAAAAGGAAGAGTCCATTCTTTTGAGGAAAAAAAAAAGCTGTTACGTCCTGGATCCAACAGTTATTTTAAGTCCGAATAAAGTTATAAATTAGCCTTCATTATTTAGGCATTGAAACAGCATTTTACCCATTGTATCTCCTACTCAGCAATCATAATCAGTTGGCTTAAGTCTAATAGCTGCTATTAGAGGTGCACTTCAATGACAGATACAAGGAGTGATCCAAATATCCAGTGAAGGTTTAAATAAAATGTCTCATGGGTGTCATCTGTCCTTCCGAAAACACTCCCCTTCCCTTTGAACGCACTGATCCCATCGTTCTTGCCGCTTTCTGAAGCAGCTCTGGAAGTCCTCTTTCTTGAGGGTCTTTACACGGTGAGATCACAGTTACTGCTACAAAGCACCATCTGTTGGAAAGGCAGGCTTGTAAAAATATCGCAGTGCCTCCTCATCGGGTGTACTCACTGCCTCCAGCACTGTGTGACTTCTGGCTCGTCCTCAAATTCAAAACGACTGTGAAAGGGAGACAGTTTGAATTGATTCAGGACAGAGAAGCAGCCATCACAGAGCCACAGATGACACTCATGAAACAGGACTTCCAGAGCTGCCTAAGGCAGTGGTAAGAACCAGAATACAAGGGTGCGGAGAGTGAAGGAGAGTGTTCCGAGCTGGATTGATAGCAGTGTGTCTTTAGCTGTGATTTTTGAAAATGTAAACAATCACTGCGACCTCCAGTCACGCCACGCCTGTGTCACCGTCCCAAGCCCAGGCTGCCCATTGGCTTCTGCTTCCTCGCTGTGGACTTTCTAGTGTAATTGTGGGAACAGGCGTGGAAGCAAAGGGGACCAAAGGAAAGGTGCTATTGACGAATTTACAAATTCATTGCTACAAATAATAATACAGGAAGAGCAGCAAAGGAAAGAGAAATAAAAGCAACCCAACTTTTCATGTGGCCGGAAAGCCCAGTGCAGTAATAATTAGAAATTCTAGCATTGGTCCATGCAATCCCTGTCTGGTACTGTTGTTGTTGCTGAATTTGTTTTATTATTATCATCGAGGTTAAACATGCATGTCAAAGACTTAAGTACTCCTACGTGGCTAAAAAGAGAGTAGTTTTATACATTTCTCCATATCCTCGGATTCTTATCTCCAAAGGTAAACAGTTCAACTTTTAAAACTAATTTTCTTATAGCTTATTCTGGCTGAAAACATCTCCATACAGTCATTTTAGATATTAGTTTTAGATTTGTTTAGTTTTAGTTATTAATTATTCACCTCATTTGTGAGTTTTAGATATTAATTTTTGACCTGCTACTGTGGCAGAGCTTACACATTATACACACATGCAGACACACTCGCGCACACACACACAAACACATCCATACATGTATACATGGAGAAATGTACCTTCCCTTATCTCTCAACATAGTGGAAGCATAGTTTCTTGCTTATATAAAGTTCATAATTTTTTTCTTTCATTAAATTTACCAGTGCATTTTAGGTATACAATACAGTTACATTCACCATAGCGAACTTGTGCCTTTACATGACGTATCTCAGTTCTTGTTTTTTTTTCCCCCTTCCCCTGCCCTCCCTTCAATCTCTCCACCCTTCCCTATATCCAGTATCTCAAAGAACAGTATTTTGGTAACTTTCAAGTATCTCTCCCTGATCTAACCTGATTTAGAGCTATGAATAAATGTGTGTGCTCCCTTTAGAGTGTTGTGTCATTTATTTTGCTGCAAAAGTATTCAAGTGTTTGATAGAGAGAGAGAGCCACCACCAAAGATATTTTTAGTACTCTCTGAAGTATTCCATTTCATCATCAGAGTTTTAAAGAAGGGATTAGAGATGAGAATCAGTAGTCAAAGTGTATGTTATGGTTATAAATAATTAGGAATCACATCTTTTTCATGTATTGTACTCGGAATGCATTTCCCTTATTATAATCTGGTTTTCCTTTCTCCCCCATCCTCTCCCTCTATAGCCCTTAGTTCTTTATGAATTCGTCACGCATTACCACATTTTCCATCAGAAGTTAGGTTACTTTTCAGCCCAGTGAAAATATCAGAAATCTTTTTCTGGTTTACTAGCTTTCATGAAACACCTCTTTCAGTAGTTTTCTCTGGAAAAATTATTCACAGTCATGTTGTGAGATCTTTAATATTGAAGTTTTTCTTACACGTAATTGTTATAGAATTGAGCCCTAAAAAATGTTTTGTCTTTAAAAAAGTCAATCAATTTTATGTAGGTATTGCTTCATTTTTAAAAATGCATTCATTACTCCATTTACCTGCAGTTTGTAGTGTTGTAGAATGCAGGTCCCGTCTAATCCCACAGTCTCTGTTCATGATCCATTTTCTTTTAGCTCAGTGAACTTTGAGGATTCTCCCACTCGTCTTGCTTTTATGAAACCTCACAGGAGAGTTCTTTGCTATTTGACAAAATAGTCATCCTGGATAATCTTGAGACCCTTAGATCTGAAGACATTCGGGCTTTTCAAATTGAGAAAATTTGTTTGAATTACGTATTTGATGAATGCCCCTGTCTTACTAATGTCTCTGTTATAACTTCTGCTCTACAGATAATCCACTTCCTCTTTTGAAATTCTAATTATGATTCATTTTGTCTCCTTTATAAAGCTATAGATTTGAATGCTTATTTTTATTTTTTATTTTTAATAGAGTTTATTGGTACATTTTAGGTATACAGTACAGTTACATTCATTATTGTGATCTTGTACCTTTACATGACAGGTCTTGATTCTCATTTTTTCCCCTTGTCCCTGGCCTCCCTTCAACCCTTCCTCCCTCCCCATTTACAAACACTTTATTTCCATTTTTTTATTTTCTCATATTTTTTTCTTTTCCCTTATTGCCTTTCCCCTACCCTTCCCACTTCCCCTAAATCTTTAAAAAGCCCTTTTCTTCCTATTTTACATTGTCAATTATCTCATTAGGATCGTGTGTACTATTATAGTTTTTCACACCAGAGAAACTATTCGGTATTTACACATGTGTGACTTATTTATTTCAGTTAGGAGTATATCCTCAATATGTATCCATTTACCTATGAATGAATCTAATTTCTCATTCTTTATGGCTGAGCAGTATTCCATTTTACAGAAAAACCGCATCTTCTTCATCCAGTTTCCTTCCAACTGATGAGCAAATGGGCTGTTTCCAAGTTTTAGCTATTACCAACTGTGCCGCTATAAACATAGGTACGCATATATCACTATGGTATGACTCTTTTAATTCTTTTGGAAAGATACCCAGCAGAGGGATGGCTGGGTCAAATGGAACCTCTAGTCCCAGCTCTTTGAGGTATCTCCATATTGATTTCCATAGTGGTTGCACCAGTCTGCACTCCCACCAATAATGGAGAAGGGTTCCTTTCTCCCCACAACCCTGCCAACATTTCTTATTGTGTGATTTATTGATAGCAGCCATTCTTTGTGGGGTGAGGTGGAATCTCAGTGCTGTTTTCATCTGCATCTCTTGAATGACCAGTGATGTGGAACATTTTTTCATATATTTACTTGCTGCTTTTACTTCTTTGTCTGAGAATTGTCTGTTCATTTCAGATGCCCATTTTTGAATTGGGTCTTTATATTTGGGGGGGCTGATTGTTTTGAGTTCTTTATATATTCTTTATTTTTTTGATATTTTATATTTCTTGGTCCTGTCGTTATCTCTCCTCTTAATTCCGGTTTTATATATTTGTGTTAAAGAATTCATTGCATAGTTGGTAGTTCTGCTCATCCTTAAGGCAGTGAATAGCTGACTATAGGCTTCCTTTGAGTACAGGAAGGCATCACTTGGACGAGTTGCACCGTGAGGTACAGAGTCCGCCTTCTCATTGGACACCTATAAAATCTTGTACCTGTGTTTCTTCTTTCACAAGTGGGTTATTTTATCAAAGGGAAAATCCTCTACCCTCTGGTCTGTTGATGATTTTCCTGGTTGTCTGTGTTCTAACAGCTGAGGAGGGTAAGTTAACCTGGGTCCTAGTGATTCACTGGGCTCAGTTGCACGTTTTAAACACTTGTGTTTTCAGTATGTGCCCCACCTCTATCCTTGTCTGTGTGTCATTCCTAAGTGTGCAGGTTTCTGGTGTAAAAATATACTCTTCCCTGCTGCGTGGGCAGGGTTTCAGGAGAGACCTCATACCTGGGCACCCATGGGGAATGGTCCTAATGACTTTATTGTTTCTCATGCAAGTTTAAACTAATGCCCGTCTTTCCAAGCCCACTCTAAGCTAAGGCCTTCAAATGTCCTTACTGCCCTTTTTCCTGAACTCTTCTGATGCTGTAAACTGTTTTCATCTTTTTAGTTTCCACTATCAACTACCATATCACCAACTATAAGATTAACCGCGAACTTTCTTCACCATCAGTCCAATTCATACACAAATATTTTATTAGGCTTTGCAAGTGGGATCACAGATAAAGAGCATATTCATTCATCACGTTCAATTGGAATTTAATGACATATTTAAGTCATTTGATGACGGAGTGTGTATGGAAATTTTAGCACAGAGGCAACATAGCTTCTTGGTTATCCTTGAACCTTCTGCTTTAAAAAAGGAGTGAAAAGATTTGCAGGCTCCTCTTCAGGAACTTTTTGACAGGTCTAATAGTGTCTCCTGTATTCTTCTCTTTTCCCTGCAGCACATCGTGTTTCTTGTCAAATTTTTGTTGGCCTGGATGATCCCTGATGTTCCAAAAGATGTTGTGGACAGAATCAAACGGGAAAAGCTAATGACTGTCAGGGTTCTTCATGATTTTGAACTCAACAAACTAAAAGAGAAATTGGGACTCAATTCTAATGAATTTGCCAAGCATGTCATGATTGAAGAAAACAAAATGCAGCTAGCTAAATCCACAATTTAATCAGCGTAACGGAGGAACAGCTGGTTGCCTGACTCTACTATGTTTTTTTTCCTCTGGGGTTTGGGCCAGAGGCCAGAAGCCATGTGTCAATTTACCTTTTCTCTTTGTTTTAACTCGGAGTTTTTTATAGACTTTTAAGAGGCCAACTTGGTGTTGTTGGAGGAGTAGCACTGTGTGCATCGTCCGCTGAGTCCTTCCCAGATATTCTTTCCCAGGATCCCTTTTGTAGAGGGCTGCCGGAAGTGCACGCAGAGTCAGACTACAGGAAGTTATGGAGTGCACAGAAGCAAGCTTGGACCCAGACTGTGTCCCCACTTTCCAGGGCATCTGCGCGTGTTCTTTCATTGGTTGCTTTTCTTTCCCTCTCTTCAGAAAACAGTTTGGAGAAGGAAGAGAGCAACGAGGCCTTCTTAGTTACCTAAGTCCTGCCATTTTAACTTATGCAGATGAAAAACCAAAATCATACAATATAAGAAAACGTACACAGTAAACGATGTTGGGCAAATGTCATAGCAGGAGTTTATTCTTGAAATTTTCTGGTACAAGTTAAACTTCTTTCTGAATCCCAGATAACTCTTCAAGAGACTACGCGTTTGAGTTTTAACAAAGGGTAACATCAGGATTGCTAAGGATAGTATGCTGGTAACAGTATTTTTCAACATTTGTGGTTATCTGTGGAAGATGCTCTTGTGAAGAAGTTAGACTACATCAGGTCTTCCGGCAAATGGCAAGTCTGATGTAGAAGTAAATGTGTTTTCTTAGTTAAGAATTCAAGACAATACATTTTGATTAATTTATTCACTTTGGAAAGTTGTTGAGTTTTGGAAATTAGTTTTTTTTCTGTAATGCCTATTTTGTATCAGGAAGCCTTTCTAAGCACTACATGTATAAGTTAGATAAGAGTTCTTTATGAAATGGGACATCTTTGCTTTGAAGAGATTCCAAATCTTTGAATAAGTTTACAACCTCTTCATAGTGATGCATCTCCTTATACAATCTCAGTGCCTTCTCACTATGCCTGTGACACGCAACAAATGTTAGTGCTGATTGTTCATTTGAGAAGATGTAACATCAAATGCTAGAGCAACTGATGGCATAAAAACCATCACTGAAAAACTCAAGTACCAAAAATGTGATGAATTTTATAGTTCACTAAAAAAATGTATTTCTTGAATTATTCCTCTCAAATTTGAGCCTATAGACACGTTATACAATCCAATTATAAAGTGTTTGACTACCAAGTTTCAAATTGGAATTTAATTCCAAAGGAAAAGTGGATGGACTGTTGTATCACACACATCCAAAGAAATTTTATGACAAGGATTTCTAAGCTAGCATTTCTTTATCTTATCCTAATCAAATTTACGGGACTGTCAATATTTAATATATGACAAACAGTCTTAACTGCTGGTCAGTATTCAATATTTAGAACTAAGGGTGATTTAGATTATAAAACTATGAGACCGTTACCCTAGTATGGCCAGTACTGGTTTGTCAAGTACTGCTTAGATTTTATGAAAAATTTTCTGGGATGAAGTGATCTGCTGATGGAAATAGGGTTTCAAATACATGGAAGATGTGTTCCTGCTTGTGAAACCAGTCAGTTACCATGAAGTAAGCCCCAGCACAGCATCACTGGGCTGAGGAATCAGTCAGTATGATGCCTCCATCACACATCACACTCAGCTCACTGTGCTTCCTCCTCGGTGCTGATAAGAATAAGAACAGGGAATTTGGGTTCTTGGATATACACATTAATTTGTATGGTTCAAAAGTATTTATGGGGCTAGATCACAGATAAAAGCAAATTTAACTGAGTTATTTGCACACCACAATTTAAAACAAGCCAAGAGTTAGGTTTCTAGACCATGTACTAGTAAAGGAGGAAATTATTTTTAAGATAAATAGGTAATTCTTATGATTGATTGGTAATATCCTTTTAAGATGTCCTTGACAAATACTCTATATTCATCTTGTGATTTCCTGTTGAGAGCTTCTCCATGTTTTGTCAATTACACAACAAAACACTGGCATTATCGTTTTGAAAGTATTATAACCAAAGTCAGGAGCCAGATTTATGTAGATAGATTGTTTCTTCTTCTAAAATCCGTTGACTATTACAGGAGGATTCAGTTACCAGCATCTGGTCATCAGATGCCAGTTGATACCAGCATGGTGATTGTTTTCTCCTCCAATCAAAACCAGAATTTTTTTCCTAGAAATGTTCCGGGGAACACTTGAGATCTTCTATGACAAAATTTTAAGTGCCCAAACCAAAAGAACACATTACTTTTTTCAGATATCTTCTCTCATCCTTGTGCTCATCGACTTTGCTAGATCATTTTAGAGAGCTCCATCCAGAAGAGACTGATGTAATTAGGTAAAATGTCACCTTCATTCTGCTGCATCTCTTGATGTGGCTTTAGTGATCTTTGAGCCAAGCTAATGCGAGTTACCAAAGAGAAGAAGGGAATTAAAATGGGGAGAAAAGTGCCATGCTGGGACTGGTACAAACTCTGTGTGGGAGTAATCATGTGCCCCCCACTGGCCATCTAGTGAGGACGACAGAAAAGCCAGACAGACTTCAAGCTTAGAACTAGGATGTGTCCAAAATAATATTCATTCCCAAGTGCTTTTGTAATTTCGGATACAGTTAGTAGTCATGCTTCTCTGTTGATGAACTCCAGTTGAAGGTAAAGAGTTTGTACTGTTTATTCAACAGGGAATCTCATGTTTTGAAAGAAGGTCTTTCATACTTGTTTTAACTGGTAATAATTATGCTGCAATTAAAGGGCGTTATTGAGAAAGACAGCAATGCAAGAATATTATTGCCCAGGCTTAGAAGTCTACCACAAGGAATCACTGTGACTATTGTGTTATCCTTTTTCTAAAGAAATTTTTCCTACTCAACTTTTATGCATAATGATTTAAGTATGATAGTTACTCTAGCATTATGTAAAATTAAAGAGAGTGACAAAAATGTAATAGCACAGTTCCATGTTGTGAGATATGTGTTTCTGAAATTTTTGACTAGACAGATCTTTCCTATATGTGAGATTGTGTAACTGACCCAGGAAGTATGTGTTCTGTTCTGTATTTTCTTTCTTCCTTCTGTTTTTCTTTTGAAAGAGGGATACAGGCTTGCAGGGAAAGTGACTTGAGGAATATGTCCTTATATAACAAGGAGTTCAGTCAGTGAATAAAGTAATAATTTTAAACTACATTTTGACATACACTCATTTATTCTTAAAGCCAAATGCTGATACAATTCTTCAGAGCTTGCCTATTTAAAAGAGTTTTTAAAATCACTTTTGTTGTTTAGAGACATTAAAATACACATCCACATATAGCACAGTTAGCCCAGAAAATTACAGATTTGACAAAATAGAGTTATAGAGCCGTTTCTGTTGCATGGCACAGAAAAACTGGAAAGGGTGGTAGTTTGTGTTCTATTGTTTCTTTGCTTTTTTTCTGCTTTGGAAGATGATGATGAACAGAAAGATGCATGAAGAAAAATAGTATGCTGAAATAATTTTCAATGGTTTACTAGTACTACCTTTGCCCAAAGCAGTCCCCAGTCACCTTCACTGAAACCGTCTGGACAGCTTGTTAGGAATGCACAGCTGGGCCCTGTCTCATCTCTCTAGAAGCAGAGTCCCTGGGACAGAATCTTTCACAATCTCCAGCATTCAATGTGTGAGGTGATGAAAATTTCTTAAATGATAAATTGCCTAAATGAAAGCATTGCTATGGGGACTTGCAAATGTTAATTTATCATTCTAGCTCATTACGGAATGACGTCGAGGCAAGTACAGTGCGGCCTTCCAAATTTTTAGAAATGCTGTAATCGTGTGGCATGAACAAATTCTTGAAACCTTACTGCCTAAGAGTTTCCACTTATTAAAAGAAGATCACGTTACATGTATTTTCTCTTCCCGATTTATTTAAGAGAAGAAAAATGCAGACTGATGAGAATTTAAGGCGAATCCATCACATCCTAAATATTTTATAGAACAGATTATAGTATAGGATTTAATCAGCAAAGACAAACTGCTGTGAATATTATAAGGGGAATGGGGATTGTCAGAGGGAACCAGCCTTTCGGAGTCGGAAAAGATCTGGGGAGCAATGGTCTGGAGAGAAGGAAAGTCAGAGGGAACACACCTTGAGCCCGCTGAAGCACCGCTGTGAGTGGACAAATTATAGCCAGGGAGCTCCCGAGCGCTGAAGGACTGGGACAGAGCGCTCCACGGAAAGGTACGATTTTTCTTTTTCTTTTTCTTTTTTTTTTGGTACCGGGGATTGAACTCGGGTCCTTGCGCTTGCAAAGCAGACCACCGAACCGCTGAGCTAAATCCCCGGCCCTAGGTACGATTTTTCTATACCTCTCGCTGCTGCCGATGTGCACCTATGTTCTGCTCATGGCCTTGGGTGACAACAAGCGGACGCAGAGTGAGGACGGCCCACAGCCCACCGGCTGTCTTTCCTTGTTGATCCTCTAAGACCTTCAGAAAAAAGTGGCTGCTGTAAGCATCTTTGGCAAACGTAACCTGACCTCACAGAGGGAAGAGACTTTCACTAAGTTGGCACAGCACCAGCTGCCTTATAGACCCAAAACAAAGTAAGCCAGCGTTAGCAGCCCTTTGAACAGCATGATTGGCAAAAGAGACTTAATTTACCTTCATGAAACCTACTCGAAAATGAAGACTAGAAATGTCCTTTCAAGCACATTCTCAATATTTACAAGACTGGATTAAATACCAAGTCATAAAAGCAAAGCAAACCAAAATAAACAGATTTCAAATGACTGAGTAAACCACGTAACTTTTTCTGTGTACGATAAAATAAAGCTAGCAAAGATAATAAAACATACCTGCAAGAATTACATAACTAATTTCAGGTTATTTCATGGATCAAACATATAATACAAATGGAATTTAAGGGACAGTTTTAATTACATGATTCCAAAAGTACTCGATTGCTTATTTCTGTGGGGTGCATTAATTACATTGGTAAGTGGTCTTTAGGGGTAAATGTATAGTCTTTTATTGGGCTATCTAAGAAAGATAAAAGCCAAGCATTGAAAGAAGTTAGAGAACAATAATATAAACAAAAAAGAAGAAAAGGAAGAAAAAAAAAGATCAACAGGAGAAACCAAAGAGAAGCCCACAGAAAACATTGCTTTTAATGGTAAAATGGTATTAGACTACTCCCTTTGTAATTTGCACTAACAAAGTACTCTTTCCAGCAATAATAGCCTGGATTTTGTCTAGTTTGTTTTAACCTGGGAACAACTAGAAAGAAAAGGGTGAAATAGTTACAATTTTGAATGAAAGCATCAGAAAATCACAGAGCAAAGAAACCTGAAACAACCAATAACTAGGAAAAATAAACATGAATTTTGGTGAGTGTTTCCCTTGAAGAAATTAGAGATTTAAAAGTGAAAACAATACCTGACAAGAAAGGAAAAGTTCAGCTGAGCTTTCAACACACTTAAAGTTTGGGGAAATGTTTAAATTTAGGGTTCACAAAAGACCAGATCTATAGTAAAATCCCACAGCTGTCTCTTGGGAAATTACGCGTAAGGACACAGAGAAAGGATGTGCTTCTTGGAATGCTAAAATAATTGAAATAGATTTATGTTAGTATCACACAGTGTAAATTATGTGACAAGATTAATTCTAGAGATGGAGAATGAAATATGTGACTATGCATTCAAATAACAATATATAGAAAAATATAAAAGATATGTTGACATAACTAAAACGGACAATGAACCCATAATCTTATTTTGAGATGTTAATATGCTCGTAATGACTGATAGACCAAACAGAGGGGAAAATGCAATAAGAATATAGGGAATTTAAATGATGAAACCATTCCCCTTGACAATTACATTACATCTCATAATGGCTAAGTGCATATTATTTTTCAAGTGTTTGTGAAATATTGTTTGAAGGGTAACAGTGGCTAAAAAGCAGATGAGACTAATCTCAAAAGACTGAAATCATTCAGAGTACTTTTCTGATTATAATGAATTAAACTAGATATCAATAACAAAAGATCATAGAAAATCCCCCACATTTTCAAAATTTGAGCAACACAGTTCTCAGCATGGCTCAGAGGAAATTCCAATGGATGTTGGACAACATTTGAAAACAAAAGTAAATATTAACATTTCAAAACGTGGGGAATGCACTGCATCAATCTATAGAAAATACTTAGAGATGTTCAGAATAGCAATAGTTATGATGCTACAATACTATCTCTGTTTAACAAACAAAAGCTACTAATACTAATTACTCAGGGCTTAGTTGCTTAATAAATAATATTATACAGAGTCCTATGAAAATAAACATGGTATTTTAATGGACTGTGATCCCAACCTACAGTAAAAACAAAATTCCTAAAAAGATGCAAAGCTTGTGTTGCAGAAGGAATTGGCAAGCGACACCCACATAGAGACGAGCCGAGTGGGAGTAAAGTAATAAAAGTTTATGTTCCCAGGCAAAGGTCCATCTCACTCAAATAGGCAGCGCCAGGGATCGACCTCATATTGGATTACAGCTTCTTCTTTTATAGGTTTTTGCAGCCATGATCTCATTCAGGTGCTTACATTTTGTTCCTCAGTTTACATCACGGTCACAAGATAGTTAACTTTAATCCAGATGCAACAGTTGTTTACAGTTGGAGAGTCTACCTTCACATCTGTCTAGCTATCTACTCTAATGCACAGGAAGTGGGTGTTCAAGGTCAGGGATGAGGCCAGATGTCCCACTTCATAGTCAGTGCCTCCTGTATGTGTTAATTTTGAACTAAACAAAGCAGACTGCTGTTAGAGACGGCAAAAGTCATTTTACTTTTTCCTAACATTTTGTAGGCTTTTAGATTATTTACAAAAGTTCTCTCTATCATTTGTAATGAAAATGTAGTACTTAAATAGAAAAATCAAAAGGACGTATATCTTAGAATGGATCAAAAACTTGACAAATATCTGTTTTACTCAAGGTGATACATGTTACATACAAATAAGTACAAACACCATTTTTTTCTCGGAGTGGGAAAAACTGATGTACAAATTTCCTAAGGAAAATAAGCAAGAAAAATAAGCAAATAGAAACATAAATAAGAGAAACAGGAACATAATTAGAGTTAGACCATGCTAAGAAAATGAAACATGCCATAAAAGAAACTTGTTACTCTCGTGAAAAGAGATGCTTGTAGAACAGAAGGGAATGCAAATTTTAAAAATAAACAATTACATTAAAAGTGAATACTCCTTCTGAAGTTCATAGGGAGAGAGGTATAACCTATGTAACTTTGGAAAATATATAATTTGACTATATACTACAAGGCTAAATGCAAAGTATGTAGGTAATGTAATATGGTTCATTTGCTTTCATAGGTTTATGAGTCAGCAATTCTGAAATTTCTTATGTGCATATTAGAGTGAGGAAATATTTGGATGATTTAGCTCATGAGAATAAGACTTTGCACTCTCAGATATAGAGGTTGTGAATAAAAATGAAAAGGCGACCATGAACCCTTTCGTGTTAGAATGAAATTGAAGGTAACAAAAAGGCAGATAGGAGATGATAGATAGATAGAGGATAGATAATAGAGAAACAGGTTTAGAAATGAGTGCACATATTTTAATGTGTGCACGTATTTTCTAGCTTTGTCCCTTGTGAGAGAGCGGAAGCAACAAAGTGGCTGTAACGGTGACTGCAATGTCACCTCAGTGGGTGCAGAGGGCTGAAGCAAGGAGAATACAAAAGGTTTTGGACATGGGGTGGTGATAGAATAGGGAGAACTCGGACAATTTGGGGCCAGATCAAACCTAAAGGCAGTCTCACAGCCCCAACATGAAACAGTTTAAGCAACAAAAGAAATGACAATATTTAGAAGTTCATCCTGGTACAATATATAATTGAATGAAGGAACAAATGAGGGAGAATAATTTGAAAGATCACAATGATAAATGCACGGGGAATGAGAAGGTGAAGTCTAATAAGGGAGAACTATGATGATTGTTGCAGGTTCCGATGATGGCAGAACATCATTAATACGCAGAGGCCAAATACTAAGGCGATCACTCCCTACAAATAGCACCTTTGTACAAACGGAAAATAGTAACGCCACAGCAGAGAAATCTGCTACATACCAGTTTAACCAAAAAGACAAGGTTAACGTTGCCAAGAATAACACACCAGTATCATGTGTGCCCAGTATGACGCAGGGGGATGGGTGTGTCCGGTTTTAAATTTTTTATATTCTTCCCCAAAATGCATAAATCCCATCTAATCATGAAAAGCATCAGGCAGATTTCAAAGTGAGGTACAACCTACCGCGGCATCAAGATGGTGAACAAAAATTGAACAAGTAAGGATGGAGATCGAGGTGCTCAAAGAGAAAGCAAGTAAATGACATGCTGGGTACTGGGTTTGCCTTCAGACTCAGCAAGCGGGTGTTTCTGGGGAAATGGGTAGCATTAAAACAAGGTCAGGGGTGGGGATTTATCTCAGTGGTTCCACCGCCTTCCTTGCAAGCACCAGGACCTGAGTTCAATCCCTGGTACAAAAAAAACAAAACAAAACACACACACACACACACACACACAACAACAACAACAACAACAAAATAATGAGATCAGTACAGTCACTCTTAGGATTATATCAATATGAACTCCTTCTTTTGACAATTGTGCCACAGTTGATTAGGATTTTAAAATAGAAGTTTGGATAAATGGTAAACAGAACTCTGTACATTTATAACTCTTCCGTAGGTCCGAAATTACTTTAAAATGTAGTTTTAAAAACTAATAAAATGCCACGGATAATTGGATAGATTATAATTACACTAATCACTGCCTGATGCATTACATCTGATTATTAATTCTATGAATTCTGGGAAGCACACTTTGATTAGCTAGGAGGAGTAGCCTTATTCGGAAAAAAAAAGGCAGACTGAAGTAGTCGCAATCAAATGACGTCCCTGATAATATTTCAAATGGCCCTTCAATACATAAATGGATAGAGGGTGATTGTCTCAAAGTACTAAAAATTTGATTCTACACAGTTCAGTATATTGTGGCACTTCATTATCCTACTTTCAATTCATTGTATATTTGAAAATGCTCAAAATAAAATGTTAAGAAAACACATGCAGTACCCCTGTTCAAAATGCATGTCCAAGTCACAAAACAGAAAAAGGAGGAGAACCTGCAATAGCCACAAGGAAGAAGTCACTGATATTTGCAGCTTTAAATAGCGACTATCCAATGATCATCTTAAAATGAATTGAGAATCATTTTTATCATGTAGGTATAATAAAGTCTGTAATATAAGAGATCATTTCTTTTAGCAATACATCCCCAGTGTGAAATAACACGATGGCTGGAAATTCCTCCTACAATTCTGGGAGGGGTAGGGCAGGTTAACTCAAAAGGGGACCTAAATAGTGTATGATCGCCAGGTGTGTTGTATTTGCTGAAGTTTAGGTTTTTAAAGCCACGTGTTTTTTCTTTTGCAGAAAGAATTTTCAAAATAAAAACACACACCTGCATGTAAAACTACCCATGGTGAGATAAAAAATTCACTCTGGAAATCCAATCAAAATATCCTTATCTGCAGAAATATAAGTTTATAAACTTTAGAGATGTGGTATGAGTAGAAAAGCAACGGAGAAAGTATATTCTAGGTATTCCAGCATTGTTTTTAATGGGAAAATACAGGAAAAATGGAGATTCTATTGTATTTCTTTAGAAAAATCAAATTTA